GCTGGCAGTAATTGCTCTCACGACTGGCATTTCTGCACGCTGCAGTCTGTTTACATTTTTCCATCATGTTTCATTGCTCTGATTAGTTTTATGTCTATCAGATTGTATCCTGAGGCATTTTGGTCTGTGCCCATTGGACACACATCACTTGGAAATCAGACTAATTGCATTTGTGCAACAATTTAAAAACTTCATTTACAGTCTGTTTTTTCTCTATTTCTGCAAAAATAAATAAAACTGGTATCTGGGATGTGATGCTGCAGTCATGCAAAACCTTTCGTCTTCATGCTGTATAAATAATATCAGAAATTGTGTTTATGCACGAGCATTATTTGTAAATGAGATCAGATAGTGACTCAGACTAGTCTGAGTTCAGAGCGTTCAATTTCTCTGTGTACCAAGCAGGCCTCTCCGGAGGAGGGGAGCTGTTGATAAAAGCCTCAGATATAATCCTTAAAATGCCAAACGAAGCTTCCACTATGTTTCTGTTTATAGTGGCGCTTGCTTTGTCACAGCTATACATTTGTCCCCTCCCCCCTATCGTGGCCTTGGCTTGCCACTGTGCTCCTTATTATGTTGTGTAATTAAGCTGTGAGCTTCTGAAGTTAACAATGCACATCAGAGCTATACTGCTGCTGTTGCTGGTAATAACCTCTAAATTTTGTGAACCTTTAAGAAGCATTTCACTGTGTGTGTTGTGACTTGTATAGGGAACATTAATAGTTACGACATTTGCAGGTCAGATACCAGGTTAACAAGCTAAAATGATCACTTTGTACATCCCGTTTTGAAAATACCACCAGTATTATAGAATATTAGTTAGCATATTAGTTGGTTGTTTCAGGCAAATGTAATTTACCCATCATGCATATTTGAAAAATAACAGAAAAGGAACAATTTGTTGTCTAAAGATGTAAAGGTGATGAAAGCCTCAGAAAGATTCAGAATCATCTGTGAATCTCTGCCATGAAAGGCCGATGTGCTGTGTATGCTTTGGTTTAACTGTTGTGTCCTTCGTTATATTGAGAGCTGTGTTTTTAATTGTAGCCTTGAGAACGTACTGTGCCTGGTTCCTTTTCTTCTGCTCGATTTCTTCAGTTTTTGTTCTGCATGCTTTTCAGGTATTTCAATGGAAGTCATGTTCTGCAGCTCGGAGGGATCAATGAGAACATGTCGTATGAATATCCCCAGCTACAGCACAAACACTATACTGGATGTATAAGGAACTTGCGTGTGGACAGCAAGGTAAAGTCCTGGGTCAAGTTTACCACATATGCATTACCATGAAGCCTTTTTATAAAGCTGGTTGGGTAGATGGGTGAATAGACGACTGTACTGTACCTGTTATTGTTTACCTGTGCGGATGACAGGCTGTGTAGGTGATGGAGGTCTCCACTTCAATAAGAATGTAAATGTGACGGGGAAACCTTATGAATGTTGATGTTGATTACTTATCCCTTTTTCTTCTGGTGTCTCTGTCTTTAAAATGTAAATGTGCCAGTAATGATGCAGAATGTTATCAGTATTAAACTCGTTAATGCTTTATCATGTGTTACATGAATGAATTATCGCTTGACATATCCTGATCGTTTCTTTTTATGTAATCAGTTCATCTAAATGTATTTGCCTTACACACATGCTGCATTGCTTAATTAGTAAACGAATAGTTTGCAAACTATAAAGTAATAATGTGCAAAGTAACATTTATAACTACGGGCGATTTTAGAGTAACTAACCACTAACTGCTATTTCTTTAGAGCAGTGGTTCTTAACCTGGGTTCGATCGAACCCTAGGGGTGGCTGTAGCTCAGGTGGCCGAGCAGGTCAGCCACTAATCAGAAGATCGGTGGTTCGATCCTATGCCAAATATCCTTGGGCAAGATACTAACCCCATGTTTGCCTACTGGTGGTGGTCAGAGGGCCCGGTGGCGCCAGTGTCCAGCAGCCTCGCCTCTGTCAGTGCGCCCCAGGGCAGCTGTGGCTACAATGTAGCTTACCATTGCCAGTGTGTGAATGTGTGTGTGAATGGGTGAATGACTGAATGTAGTGTTAGGGACTGAGTAAAGCGCTATACAAATGCAGGCCATTTACCATTCGGTGAATCAGTCTCAGGTTCGGCAGAGCCTCCACCGTGACATGCACGGCTCATTTTGTGCACCAATAAAAAACATATATTTGTCTTGAATTTGAAAAAAATCACATTTTATTTTTCACTAAAGAGGGGTTCAGTGAATGCGCGTATGAAACTGGTGGGGTTCGGTACCTCCAACAAGGTTAAGAACCACTGCTTTAGAGGCTAGAGCAACCGGAGTGAACCTACACAAACACAGGAGAACATGCAAACTACACACCTGATGATGGAATTGAATTTGGGACCTTCTTGCTATAAGGCAGTAGTGCTAACCACAGTGCCACCATGCTTCCCCATGCTGTGCAGTATTTAATACTGTATTGGAAGCACTTTTGAATTGTTGCCAGAAGTCGATGGAATCAGTACAGATAACAGCTGCTACTACAGTAATGACAACACTAACCCGCGACTGTAACCACTTTTATACTGAAAGAATTTACACCCTTTGATTTGCCGCTGAAAGTGCAGCGCCTTCGTTTTAATGCAGCCAACGCTTTTGTCTGCAGAAATAAGACACCTTGCCTGCCACCTAAATCCAGGTGTCAAGTACATCTTTTATTGATCGGTGCGACATGATTCAGGATTTTCTGTGCTTTAGCAACAGTTCTACAGCACTCCTGTGTTGCATAGTACCTCTGATTATATTTGTAGCTCTTGTTAATCATTAGTGTCGATATTTACTGTAAAAACGAACACTTTTAAGAAAGATTTAAGATATTATTAAACCATTAAAAAATCAAATGTAAAGCTATCCTTCATTCATTTACAGTAATAACACAAAGTTCTTTGCAGTCATGTTTCTTTTCATCCCTTCCACTAGAACTACAAGGACAGATTCCTCCACCTTTGCTGTATTTTCACTATCTTCACATTTTTCTCCTCTTATTCTTACATTCAGCTGTATGACCTTGGTTCCCCTGCTGAATCCTACAACACATTGCCAGGCTGCACGCTCATTGATGACCACTGCGCCAGCCTGGAGCAGCTTTCCTCTTGTGGCAAGAGGGGTCACTGTCACGGGGACTGGGGCTCTTTAAGCTGCCTGTGTGAAAAAGGCTTTACAGGGCCACAGTGCGATCAAGGTACGCATGCCGGATACGTTTCGTTGGACTGTGACGTTTCCTGTCAGTTTTACATCTAAAACTTTGCGAAGTGTACAAACCAATTTGGAAAGTCGCTGCTGTGGGAAGATAACCTCGCCTTAAAATAAAGTGTTTTTGCAGAGCAGCATGCTCTTGCTGTGATAACCTCGTGCATTTCCCTTATGACAGTTGAATTAATTGAACAAGCTTTGTGTGTTTTTGATCGACAAGTGGCTCGAGAGTTCTCCTTTGACGGCCGGAGCCACATTCAGTTCCACCTGCTTTGGTCCCTACCGGCGCGACAGGCTAGCGTCGAGGTTGGGGTGCGAACGCGTGCAGCCGCCGGCGTTATCCTCAGCCTGCTTTCCCAGGAGCAGAACGAATACCTGCGTTTAGAGGTGAGTCATGACCGGTCACTCCCCTCAACCTTGACAGCCATGATTGTCTTGTTTATGAGCTTTACAATGATGATTAGGACCCAGACAATGATTGCTGAAAATGCTTGTCAGACTAAGAGTGATTAATACCAGGGTTTGAGACATAGGGGTGGATCCAGAGGGGGCTGGTGATTGACATATGTATGTTCTCAAAAAGGCCTTTCAGTAAGTCGGCAGAATGCTCCTATTGAGAGATTGCTATTTTAAAAAACGATGCCTCTTCTGTTCAGGCTTATTTTTGCCTTTGGTTAATATTTGAAGCACAATTTAGCGTGGCAAGAGATGAACGGTGCGTACTGTAATAGGCAGAGGTCAGATCCCTCGCTCGGAGCTTTAGGGTTTCAACACAGCTTAGTTCAAGTGGGCAGCTCAAAGCGATGACTGCATACATGCTGCTGCTGTGCCACGGCGAGGGTGGAAAGGTGCTCACGCCGAGTCAAGTCTGCTTCTCTTTGCCAAACCTCCATAATAGCATGCCTCTCTTGCCTGAGTGGATATGAAGCCAGTGTTTGTTGTCAAAGCCTTCTGTCTCACTCACTGACAGGCCAACTGTGAACAGCACCTGGAAGTAAACATCTCTGTTAGGACTGCCACTTTCAGTGAACTCACAGGTCACCTGTTTGCAGTGAACCTGTCACCGTTTTTATGGTTTCCACACCGCTGGTCTGTCTTTGAAAACATGCCTGTTATTTGTCCGACAGCATTGTTTAAAGAATCAAATCTTGTTCTCGGGTCTTTACACTACACGACGAGAAACAGCGTCGTCCTCGTCCCTTGCTGCCGTGCAGCGGTGACAGGAAAAGGAAAATGCTGTAGCCTTTACTGCACGCGGGCTGTGAAGCCTCTGTGTGAAACCCTCTCTGGAGCTGAATTGGTGAGCTGTATAAAGTATCTGATGTCTGTCTGCAGCGGCACACTGAAACATTTTCAGCCCAGTTGTCTCAAAGCTCTTAGAAACACTTGAAGCACCATCCTGGTGTGTTTTCTGACAACAAACTCTAATTTAAAGGCCTGCCTCTCTGCCCTTTTTTCTTAAGGGTAGATATGGAATAGAGTGCACACTGAATAAATAACCACACTTTCACACAAAGGTTACGAGGGGCTAGCTGGGTATAAACAGCATGTATCTCTCCAAGGAGCATGGAGTCTCTTTAAAGAAAACATTTATCTAATGCACTTTGCAAAGAAGCTTTTTTGGGGGGGGCAGTAACAAACATGAACCGCAACACTGTCAAAGATCATCGCACCCCTCCGAAACCGTAAAACTTTAAAACTCTGACATTTTTATTATCGAATGGGATTTGAAATGTGAAGGTTCAGGCATTAGACATTTGCTTGAAGATTTTGTGCTAAGTGGTGATTGCGTGGATCTCTGGGGGCTCTGCAGAAAGTTTGTGTAATCTGATTTTTCTCCTTTAAGCATCGATTGAGTCCTTTGCTCATTTTTGTTGCAGACTCGAGGGCAGGATGAGGCAATAGGGAGCGCACAGTCAGCTTTTACTTTGTGCACGCACGCGCGCCCGTGTGTGTGTGTTTGACCAGTAGGTGAGGCACATTTGAGATACTCATGCTGAGGGAGCAATAGTTAATGCTGGCTGCGCTGAATGTGAATTATCTCGCCCCACTGTTTCCAATTAAGCTGTGGACATGTACAAGCTGCAGTTACGGGAGCCGCTCATTGGTCGAGTCCGTTCTGCTCGCTCATCCTTAACTGCTGAAGATAATTGTTGTTTCTTGTATACCTTCCCTTCGGGATGATTCTGGCCTCTGCCATGCAGCGATGTGTATGGCATCTCTGCTAAGCATCATGGCTGCAAAATTGCTGAATTAATTTTTACCACTGGAACATTCACGTCATTTTTCTGGCTAGTCCACCAAGGAGAGTCTACTTGTCCAGATAGTTAAATTTCACAACCCAACCTTTTCCACATCGTGGGAACTGGCCTAATTCTTATGATATTGTTATGCTCACAATCTGTCCATCAACACAGCGCAGTACGAATCCAGTTAGTATTTGTGTCACCTCATTTCACAGTTTGAGTCACACTCTTGAAGTTTACACTAACACAGTGGTTCCCAAACTTTTTTTGCTGGCCCCGCCCCCTCTTCTCGCGCGTGCACGCACACATCCTCCAACCACACACACCCATATTTTGCTCCATTGCGGTTTATTTCACACCTCAAACATTTAGTAAACAATTAAGCAAGTACAAGTAATCTGCAATAAATTACAGGTAGTAATAAAATAAACTACTAACTCTTTTACGCTACGTCCACACCTACACGGGTATTTTTGAAAACGCAGTTGTTTCTTCCACGTAAACGGCGTTTGGAATCACCGAAAACTGATGTTTTTTAAACTCCTTTTTTGCGTTTACGTGTGGACGACTAATGCAGAGTTGGTCACGCAACGTTAAAAGGTATGTGCCTTTTTCACGTCACGCTGTGCGCCACGTTATTTTTTTTTTCATGAGATGAATTGCAGAATGGCAGATAGAGACAAAATACTGTTAATCTGACTGTCTGCAGGTTTTACACGCTTACATAAACACGCAGTCCCTCTATTTAGAAAGGCAGAGGCGTCACGGTGTGATTATTTTACGTGTAATTTTTTGTTTTGTTTTTTCCTGTGTAATAATATTCAACATTGCTATCAATACATTTTTCAAAAAATGCCTCTCTGTGCAAAATGGGTTCAAAAACATAAACAG